AGGTACTCACTCTTCTCCGCTGTATCCACCGTCAGTCCGGAGAGTCTGACTCCTCACCTCAGCACCATCACCTCCGTCATGCTGCTGTCACTCAAGTCCACTGAGGGAGTCACGGTCAGTGCGTGTGCCTTGCCAGTGCCACCCCACCCCGAGGAAATGGTCCCTCAGCCGAGGCTTTCATCGCTCCCTTGTTCCTCCTCAGGCTCACCAAGACGAAGAAGCCCAGTTTGTCCTCCTTGATGACGATGATGACGACGACAGTGGTGACGTAGTTTTGGATGAGGAAGGAGAGAAGGAGGGAAATGAGAGCGACATTACTGGGTGCATTTTTAAATCCTCATCTGGCTGCTTTCCAGTCTGTTTGCTGACCTTCAGTCTTTGTTGACCTTTGAAGCTCTGCCTGTTCCGTCCTTCCTCAGTTTCAGTGTGGAGAATGCCTACATTGATGAGAAGGAGGATGCCTGTGATGCGCTGGGAGAACTCGCCCTTAACACTGGGTACTTCTCTCCTCGTGTAGATAACCCCGTCTGGGCTTTTAATCGGCGCCGTTGAAGCATTCCTGTACTTCATGCTGTTTCTCTCACTCCCTTTCACTTCCTCAGCACTGCCTTCCTCCCCTTCCTGGAGGTGACTTTCCAGCAGGTCTTTGAGATGCGTGATGTGAGTCGCTCAGTGTGTCCCTCTTGCACGGGCGGGTCAGCTCGTTGGATAGGCAGGTCTTTAAGCAGGTCCCCTGTCTTTGCTCACATCTCTACAGTTCCCCCATGAGGATGTGCGCAGGGCTGCCTTTGCGTCCATGGGCCAGTTTTGCTGTGCACAGCACAAAGTGTGGCAGGGAAACCCCACGGAGGACAACCACCAAGGTTCAGCCTGTTTTTCCGGTCTTTCCGCTTTTCCCAGTAGTCTGTCCTTTTTGCAGTGCTGGCTGCAGTTCTGCATCTGAGCCTCTTCCTCCCCTCCGTAGCTCTGCAGAAGCTTCTGTCCACGGTGCTCCCGAGCTTCCTGGAGGCCGTGAGGCAGGAACATGAGAGGCAGGTAGTGATGGCCGTACTGGAGTCCATGAACGGCGTGTTAAAGTCCTGCCAGGGGGAGGCGCTGCGGCCGGCTGGTAGGCTGGGCGAGATCAGCCAGGTCATCCGCAGTGTCCTCAAAAAGAAGGTAAGGAGAGAGGGAGTGAGACCAGTGTGCAGAACCTCCCACAAACACGCAGTACAGTGTAAAAAGGTGATTTTTAATACCTATAATTAGCTTTGAAATTGTTCCGCATTCTCTGCGCAGACGGTCTGCCAAGATGGAGGAGGTGATGAAGCCGATGATGAGCAGCAGGTGAGGCCTTCCATCCCCACCACCTCCATGGCGTTGGGCCCCTCTCCCTCTGCCGGTCAGCCCCTGGGCTGGCCCTCGCCATGCTTCCCTGCAGTGCTGTCCAGGCTCTGGCCCCTTGCTGGGCAGTCAGTGCCGGCTCTCCCAGTGCCGGCTCTCCCAGTGCCGGCTCTCCCAGTGCCCTGCTTAGTGTCTCCGTGTGTCAGGCTGCCTGAAAGCAGCCGCTCCTAGGCTGTGGAATAACCGCCTGCTGGCGAAGGCGTGTCCCCCTTCTTCAAAAACATATTTTAATCCTTCGGCTTTTGGCACCTTTAATTGCTCTGCTTAAATTGTTTATTTTTTATTTTATTGTTTCATTTACTCTCCTAATTTACTCTCCTCATTTCCAGAGCGATTTCGTGAAACTGTAACATTATTGCTTATGAACATTATTGCTTATGAACATTATTGCTTATGAACATCACTATACCAGCACCTAAAACAAAATGTCACATCCTTTACCACGCCCACTTTTGCTTGATGCTGTATGTCATTTTGTGTTTGTGCTAATGTGACTTCACCTTTACTCTGTACAACGCTTTTCGGTACAACTTTGGTTACTTGATTTTAAATGTGCTGTATAAATAACCCCCCCGGTTTCAGGCTGAGTTTGACGCCATGCTGCAGGAGTTCGCGGGTGAAGGGATCCCCCTCCTGGCCTCTGCTGTTCCTGCCGACACCTTCTACCCCTTTCTAAATGAGCTGCTGCCCCTCATCATGAACAAGGCCGTGAGTCCCCATGTGCCCCACCAGGGGGCAGCACAGCACAGATGGCTGCGTGTGATAGAGCAGGATGCCTATAGGTGCCCTCTGTTTGCCTCCTTCAGAAATCCTCCTGCACCGTGGCGGAGCGCTCCTTCGCCCAGGGCACGCTGGCCGAGATCATGCAGTCGCTGGCGGCCGTGTCTGGCGGCAGGCCGGTCGCTGGGCGTCTGTCAAACCGGCTGCTGCCGGTGATGATGGCTGGGGTGCGAGACAGTGACCCAGAGGTGCGCAACAACAGCGTCTTCGGCCTGGGCTCGCTTGCCAAGGCTGCTGGGCCGATTATCACAGAGTATCCTGTGAGAAATCCCTGGGTGTCTATGTGCTGATGAGGGCTGCGTGTTACCCTGGCTGTGTCGCTCGTCAGTGTGCCACGTTAGTGTTCCTGTGCCTGTGTGGTTTCAGTCCCTGTCCCATCCTTGACTCGCTTCCCCAGGAATTACCCTACGCTGCTCTCCTTGTTCTCATCTCTCCTGTCCAAAGAGTCGGACAGGAGGGTTATTGATAATGTCTGCGGTGCCCTCTGCAGGATGATCACCAGCAACACACCGTGTGTGCCACTGGAACAGGTGAGCTTCCTCTCCCACTGCCATTTTCCTGCAGTCTCCCCTTTCTGAGCTCACATACACACACAGATTCAGCATTAATTCCCCTTTCAGTGCACGTGCTGTTTCTGCTAGGAGTGGATCAGAGTGCTGATACTGTGAATGCCGTCCTCATGTCAGTGATCTTTGGTGTCCTGTAACCTTTAGGAGTGCTGATACTGTGAATGCCGTCCTCATGTCAGTGATCTTTGGTGTCCTGTAACCTTTATGACATCTTAGGTGTTTCCCGCTCTCCTTTCACACCTTCCTCTGAAAGTGGATCTGGAGGAGAACCGGACCGTATTCGACTGCATGGCCTTCCTGTACTCCCATAATCCCTCACTGGTATGGCTGTGCAGTATTTATCTAATGTTGAATAGTATTAGGTGAGGGTGGTGTTTGTGGGGTCTCTCACTGAAGATGCAAGTTTAGCACTAGCTTTTGGTGGAATGATTTCTCAGTAATCTCTTTTTATTGCTGTGTTCTAGGTTGTGAGTCACATTAAAGCTGTACTTTCTGCATCCAGCCATGTTATAGGAACCAAAGACCTCGATGCCGGTAAGGACTCCGTGCCCCACGGCCTTCTGGCAGCATGAATACGCTCTAAGAGATGTTTCTGTCTTTCAGATGGCCAGGACACATTGCTACTGTTTCTAAGAAAATTGGCTCAGCATCATTCGTGTGAATTCCAGTGTGCAGTGATGTCTCTTCCCAGTGAAAGGAAGGCGGCGCTCGTGGCACTGGTCACGCCAGTGTAGACTCATCTTAGTCCATTTCTTTTTGGTTAAACATCATCTACCCAGGGAGCTTCAGACTCACGGAATTGTCCAACAGCCAGCCGCTCGCAGCCACCAGAGATGTGCCTCAGCACTTCGTACGTCTCATAACATAAACTAAGAACGTAACAAACCAGGCTTGTGCACTTTCTATTACACTGTCATCTGCTGTCGCTGTCAGCTAGTTCCTTGCCAAAGGTACGGGGAGCGGAGCAGGAGACCAGGGGGACAGGTCATGGTCGGTGTGTCAGGTGCCCTCATTCACTCTCGTTTGAACGGGGGTCCGTCTTGTGAATGGATTCACCCACAAAGTCAAATCCCGGCCCTTGGCCAGCCCTCCTGGCCGTGTGCATCTCTGAGAGAGTCTCAGAACTGCGGCACTGCCTTAGTAAAGGTGTTACTTTGCAGTGGGGTTACCAAGGGCTCAGATTTTGTATTTATAAATAGCAGAGCTCACTAAGGAAAAGATTCTTTTAATTTTAACCTGCTTTGTAAGGTTAAATGGGTTAGACCCTCTGCTCTCTAGCTAGAGAAGAGCCTCTGTGATCTTGCAGGCTTCAGTGTGGTGTGACTCCAGCCCATTCCGTAGCCTCCAGAGGTTCTGAGGAGCCTCAGATGAGACTCTCTGGACAGCGGGCAGTAAGACACATTTATTTCCGCTTGCGTACATAATATTCAGATAAATCAGTTATTTAGGCTGTTTTTGTTACCCACACTTAAATGGCTGTAAGTCCCTGAATAAATTCACACCACTTTACCCAGACTGCTCTGTCCTGTGTCCATGACAACAGAAAGATATTAATACATTGTGGTAAAATTAATGTGCTGCGCTAAGAGGGTAAAGTGTTCTAAGGACTGGCAGGTGGGCTTGCAGCAGTGTTGCTGTGCTTCTATCTTGTCATTTCTCTCCTGTTTCTGATCACATATTCTGCTTCTTCTCTGTCTTCTGCCATTTTGGCTTTAATTCTGTGTCCAAGGCAAGGAGCATCTCTGCTGGCTTCAGTCGGCTCTCTGAGGGGAGGAGAGAATGGTGCATCAGTGCCGATGCCCGTGCAAAGGACAGGCAGCACAGTGACGGTTTCAGGGGAGGGAACACGGTGACCTTAGTGAACTTGTGGGTTTATAGAGTGATCTCATTAATAATGGCCACGCAGGGATTACAAGCCGGGCTGTGGGAAATGTGGCGGCCGTGTGAGCCGATTGCTACGCCAGGTTTTTACATGCATCCGTCCTGCAGGGGGCGTGTTTCTCACCTGCTGATGCGTCCTCCCACGGCATTGTCATTGGGCCCTTCCTGCAGTAGGAGCGCTGTGTCTGACTCTCGGTGCTGTACACGATCTCCTGGCTCTGGCGCTGTCCCGGCTGCTGCGCCTTGACCCGCAGTTCCAGGACCACAATCTCCTTCTCCTTCAGTTCCCCCGAGTTGCTCCTCACCCGTGTCCGTGTGGTGTCCACCCACACCACCTTCTCCCTCACCTCCGACCTGTGCAGGCAGCAGATACGTGACACGCAGCACGCAGCCGGGCTCTCATATGCACCGTGCGGTAAAGCGGCAAACTCACGGCAGGATGCCCAGGTCGTCCAGTGTGCCGTCCAAGAAGGGGAAGAAGTGCTCTGGGCTTGGCATGTCGACAGGCAGGGGCACACACATGGGCACTGCCCACTGCAGCTCGGCACGCACCATGCTAGTCTGTGGTCTGGTCCACTGCCTGCCTTCTCTGCCTCTGTACCCTCGCGATCAGCTCTCTTGTCTGCTTGGCAGGCTGTGCCGTGCTGCGCTGGGCTGCAAAGCGCTTTGCTGTGCCGTGCTGCGCTGCACTGTGCCGTGCTGGGCTGCTTGGTGTCGGGTCCTGTTGCTGCCTGTGCTGTAGCGTTGCTCTGCCTGACACCCTGTCAGTTGCTCCCTGATGCCCCCTCAGCAGTCCACACCTTGCTGCCCCCTCTGATATAAACACTCCCTGTGAATGTGTGTAATGTGTCATTCAGTTGTGACTTTATTAAGCTGTCCGGTGTCTGATAAACTGCCCCGTCTTCATTAGCTGGGATTCTGCTGCGAATGAGATTGAATTGCCATTGCTTAGATGAATTCACAACATAAACACGAAGAAGACAATGTTTGAGATACCAGGCAATATCAGCTGAACGCTGTATACATATATTTAAGAAATGTGACTAGTCATTTGCTCTTCAGTGCTATTGCTGTTAGGGGAACTTTTCTTGTACCATTTTGGCAGACGTTCTATGGCCAGTAATCTATGGAATTTGATGCTGGTGTAAACAGTGCTGATGCTGATGCCCATGGAATGTCACATCTCCAGCTTTGTGGCACTGAGTGTCGACCTTGTGTCGTGTGGTGTACTCTGGTCCCCCCTGTAGTCCAAACATGTGGTTAAGTGAACTGACATCTCTGAATTGCCCATAGTGTGTGCTTTCTGATGGGCTGGCAGCCCATCCAGGGTGTCCCCTGCCCTGTGCCCTGCGACGGACTGCAGTCCCGTCCAGGGTGTCCCCTGCCCTGTGCCCTGTGATTGACTGGCATCCCATCCACTGTGTCCCCTGCCCTGTGGTGAATGGTAGAAGAGAATAGATACAGCACAACAACAAACAGATGGAGAACAACTTAATACACAGAACAAGCAGAAGCAAGTGCAGTGGCGGACCCTGGCAAGGACAAGAAGGGCAGGGCCGCTGATTTAGCCTTGCCACATGGGCCCCAACCGCCAGGGGGCGACAGACTATGCAGCTGCTTTGAAAATCCCAGCAAGGCATAAAATGCGCACTGCTCACTCATTTTCTGCCATTTCATTTGTAGTCCCGGGCTTATAGTGTTGGACCTGTACAAGCTGCTAAAATTAAGTACTATATAGCCTACTTTCTGACAGGTTGACCAATTCAATAATACATTAATTATTGAATTGTTTTACAATGAGTTTCTGAAATTTCACTCAGTCCCCACTTAGAAGGACAATTAGCAGCACGTCAAGTATAAGGAAACTGCTTCTGCAAAAAGAGAAAAAAAATAATACAGCTATCGTACTTGGCAGGAAAGTATATTATTCGTTCGAAAATGTGTTGCCTTTTCGTTGAAAGACATTCCTGCCGATGTGTGTCATTCTGCATTTACATGCCGATCCGCAGGACACCATCAGGCTGTTCAACGGAACACCATACACCCTAACCTAACCATACGCTGAACGTCCCCAGTGTTTACTCGGTCACGCGCAGTTGACTTGTCAGCTTCTGCGCTGCAGCCGGTTTAGTTTACAAGTGAACTTGTGAGACCTGGTGGAGATATTTCGGGCTGGTGGGGGGGGAGCTGACGTTTCATGCGACATTTATTTAGTAGGTAGGTGGTGCTGCAATGCGAGCCTGACTGGGCTGCTTACCGAATAAAACTTCGGATTGGGGAAAAAACCGACATATTACCGTCTCACATGACATATTACAAACCAGGAGAGTGGCCCTAAAATGGCATATCCACAGTATAGTGCTCCCCCGGATCAGAGATTTCTGTGGGATATATTTCGGAGGTAAGAGAAAACATACTTGCGTATTTACCGTGAGCTGACACTAACACCGTCGCATTACTGCAGAAACTAACGGCGTGTAACAGAATCCCGCAGTCTGGTGATTTAGCTACGGTGGTGGCACTAAGCGGAACGCGATCCCCGCTTTCTAAACTTTACAGTCCCCCGGTTATAAACGGCGGAATACGGTCACGTGGTCCTTCCAGGACGTTTTTATGCTCACTGTGCACAATGAGAAATGCTTGACAGATCGGGGCGGGGGATTCTGGCTACGGCAGCTTGGTTCATTTCCTAAATATGCGCTTAATCAAAGGGACTCGTTGGGCAGCGGCCGGAGCGGCAGCGCTCCCCTGGGCGCCCGAAAGTGACAGGCGCTGCGCCCGCAGCCGCTTTCGTCCCTATATATTAGTTCGCTACTTTAAATAAAGTTGTTTACGCTCTGGCAGTTTTAGTGCCAGTATTTGTCAGTGAAATGGATGGGTGAATCACAATGTGGCATTTTAACATGCACGAGCACGCAGTTTTAGTGTCGTTGCACAAAAAGTAGAAGCTTGGGTTATTTGTCGTGCAGAATGACGCCGAATATTTGCGAATATTTGTAATGGCGTTGCTGTGGTTTTCCTTGATGTTTCATATTGTTTAAACTACTTAAACGATTGTTTCTACATAAGCTGGCTAACATAAAAGAATTGCAGTTCAGTATAATATTCGGGATTTCTTGTTATAGTCACCGTGAACTGAACAACTGGTTGGATGATAGATATGGATGTGCTTGACTGAAAACATATCTTTGTACATATAAAGTACGGCATGAATCTGTACTCCTGTGATTGGGTCTAGAAGACTTCCCGGAATGTATCGACCAAATGCATTTGTTGGTGAAAATGCATTAATTTTCACCAACAAGATCATTTGTTTGCAATGAATTCATTAACTTGACATTTCTCATGTATTGCAACAGTGTGCTTAGGCTCAAAACGTGATCAAAACATGGAAATAAAAAAGATCCGGCTGGCTTTTCAGTTATATTCTCGTTAAATTGTAATTAAACGAGTCATATTGGAGCCGTAACGTAGTTTTACATTGATGTTGCTCTGGGTTGTTTTTAACTTGACACTCGACCTGCTGCTCGCAGAGTGGATAAAGACCAGAGCGGCTCCATCTCGGAGACGGAGCTCCAGCAGGCTCTGTCAAACGGTAAGCGAGCTCCCGCGCCTCCTCCGCGCTTCCCCGCGAACGGGACACGAGCTCCCGCGCCTCCTCCGCGCTTCCCCGCCAACGGGACATACCGTATCCTCTGCCCTGCCATGCCTGCTGTTACACATACCAGGTTAGGCCGAGCACCACAAGAAGTGGGGCTCTGTCTTTTACAATCCCACATTACAGTGATGTAGTCTCCCTGTGCATGACGTATTCTAGCCTTTGTTATAGTTGGTCTCAGTACTGTCGTTGGGTCCTGGAACTTATAAAATACTCTGCTTACATATTTGTGGTGAGGCGCCCTTCATGCGTAAGCAATTAAATTTAAATTAAAGAAGGTACACAAAGCGCTTCTATGAAGCGACCCTATATAAATTAATTATAAATATATATAAATATATCGGTTCCTCAGTGATGACTGACGTTGCCAGTATTTCAGTCCCTCTCACGCAGTACGCAGGCCAGTAGACAGATTCCCTGCTGTGGAACGTTCCCTGCTGTTGCTGCATGGGTGTGCAGTAGCACACTTTGACAGGTACATCAGTTTGTCTCAGGGTCCGCATGGCCTCCATTTTCCCCTTCTGTGCTGAGAGCGCCACCCTGTGTTTGGGGGTGGCTGTCAACCAGGGCATGTGCTGAAAGTGCAGGGAGCAGAAAGTGTAGGTGCTGCCCCCAACTGGCCGGGCAGAGGCAGCCCTGGTTTTTCCTCTCCTGACCGGCAGTGTTTGTTTTGGATGGTCAGTGTATCCATGACAACCTCGGGGCTGCCAGAGTGAGAATGTTTGGGGCATAAGGGATCTTTGTGTACCCGGGTCGCTCCAGGGATGGGACGTTGTTTCTTATGACCTTGATTTTCTGTCTGGGGATCGTCAGCCGGTGCCTCCCGATTGGCTGGCAGACCTCAGCAGGCTTCGGAGCTGCCGTCCGCTATGACCCAGCCTCCTCGATTTGGCTTTAGGTTAGCAGGCTGGGCTGTGCTTGGTCTGACCAGGAAGAGGAATACAAACGTACAGAGGATGTCGTATAACACTTCATATCTAATCTTTTGCTTTTCTTCTTCCCTTTTTTATAGGTACATGGACACCTTTCAATCCTGTGACTGTACATTCAATTATATGTAAGTCTGCTTTGCCCTTATTTCATGGCCTCCTGCAGCATTTCGAGGTTCTTCTCATACGCTCATATTGCACATATAGATTTTTTCCCCAGACATAAATATAGTTGCCATATGGTGCTAAGTGGTTTTCTCCAGAGACCCAGAAACACGTGGAAAGTTCCGGAGTGCTGCCCCCGGAGGACAGTGGCAGTTAGAAAAGCGCTGGTGATTTAGATTAACTTGTGCTTCACAAACACTGTGGTACTTGTGGTTCCAAAATAACGAAACTCTCAGCAGCAAAGAGTGCTTGACGTTTATTTGTTCGTGATCAAAGGAATCAGCTTTGAATCTGTGGCCAAACCATTAAGGAAAAGAGACCCTAAGCATGCCAGTGGCTGTGGTGGCGGAGTGTTTATGCTCTGGCACTGCAGTCTCCCAGGCCCAGGGCTGCGGGTTCAAATCCCAGCCCTGCTCTGTGCGGGTGTGGCCCGCATGTTCTCCACAGTCCAGACTGTCTCTGCTTCATTTCACTGACCCACAGTCTCATTGTGTGTCCGTACGTGACCTGTGTTGGCCCCTGCCTTGTAAAAATAATACTTTAGATCAGGATTATTCAAATCGCGGTCCTCGAGGTCTGAGCCCTGCTGGTTTTCCAGCCTTCCTTTACCTGTCAGTCAAGTGTGAAGCCTCTGACCAATCAGAATCAGTAATTATTAAACTAACTACCTGGGAGAACTGAAAACAAGGCCTGGATTTGGAATCGAGGTCCAGATTTGAAGAGCCCTGCTTTAGATAGTTATTGTCTCGGGTCAAATGATTTTATTAGGCTTTAACAATCATATTAATTACTGAATGTGTTTTCCTACACATAGATTACATGAAAATCATGTTTTCCCCAATGGTTAAATACGACTGCTTTGCATGCACTTGTAGTCGCACAGTGCATGTAATGCTGTAAAGAAAATGAACTGTTTGGGTCGAATATGGCTTTTTAAGTTAATAGCAGCTGATTTTTCTTTTTCTTCATTTCAAAGCCATGTTTGACAGGGACAACAAAGGCGGCGTGAACTTTAACGAGTTTGCTGGTGTTTGGAAGTACATTAACGACTGGCAGAACATATTCCGCACCTATGATAGAGACAACTCAGGCTTCATCGACAAGGAGGAGCTGAAGCAGGCCCTCACTGGCTTTGGTGAGTATCCTGCACCCCTGTATTTATTTAGGGTTGCCCCAGTTTCCCGTCTCATCCATCCATCCATCCATGTGTTTCTCTCTGTGAAGGGTACCAGCTCTCAGATCAGTTCTACGGGGCCTCTGTGTTTCTCTCTATGAAGGGTACCGGCTCTCAGATCAGTTCTACGGGGCGCTCATTGACAAGTTTGACAGGCAGAGGAGCGGCCAGGTGGCCTTCGACGACTTCATCCAGTGCTGTATAGTGCTGCAGGTAAGGAAGATCTCCTGCCATGGAAGCGTGGAGAAAAACATCTTCTCAGTAGGACAGCAGTTAATCAGAAATGTCACGGTTTCCTCAGAGGCTGACAGATGTGTTCCGGAGGTACGACACCGATCAAGATGGCTGGATTCTCATTTCCTATGAGCAGTATTTGTCCATGATCTTCAGCATTGCCTAGTGAATTAGGACACCGGGCTGCTCTGGAAAGCAAAACCTTCCCAACTGTCTTCTCACTCAGGAGTGTGAACAGACTGTGTATCGTTCTGCGGCGGAAAACCAGGAATACAAGTGACATGCATGTTCATTGTGTACGAATTAATTACATCATAAACAACATTTTAAGCACAGATTTCATGTGCATTTGATAAAGACATGAATCTTGTAATTATAGTAATTACAGACCCTGGTTTTATTGTAAGAAAGGTTTGTGTTTTTACAGGCAGACGTTTAGACACATAAATGCTTTTTGTTCCTTTTTGCAGAATATTTATACTAACATATATTTTTTTTCCCGGAAACAGGAACATTTTGTATCATCTCAAAAGAGGCCATGTTTTGTTGTATAGCAGCTACCTGTGCAAAGTTCCTGAGAACTTTAAAAAACTTGCTTAGCATCAGTCCTTGGTTTTTCCTGAGGCTGCGGCGTGTGGCTTTAAGCAGTGTTAGTATTCAGCACAATTAGGAATTAACTCGGCTCGAGTACTTTAAGTGTGCAGCTACAAGCTCACAAGCACGTTAACAGTTCTGCAGTTGTAGGTGCGCCTGAATTAAGACGCATCATCAATGATGGTTTGCAATAGAAGCAGGGCAGTTTGTCACTTGTACAAAATAGTGCATTTTTCAGCTTCATACTGCGAAGGCTTGTTTGAATGAAAATCCTTGCAGAGCGCATTTGTAATTTAACCTTGCAGCATTGTATTGTGTCCCTGTTTACAATAATTGTGCCACATTACTGAATTTGCACTTTAAAGGTGCAATGCATCTTATTTTACAGTAGAGGGCAGCAAATTGCTTTATTTTTGTGATGACAAATCACGCAACCTTTAAATGTACTGGAAACAAAATAACGAAACTAATCAATCAATAGATTTTCTTCTTTGTGTACATGGTGGTTTATTATTTGTATGAGTAATACTTAACTGTGCATTAACTGTCTAAATATATGTGCAGTTTATACACATAGTTCAGATCATTAAAGACATTTTTATAGTAAAGTGTTTTTTAAATTATGGCCAGATATACTTAATACTTATTAAGCATATTTTTTACAAAATAACTTCTAACACTCAGGTATATTGTGGTACTATTTGTAACGTTAGTTTTATGCGTGTGATATGGTCTCCTTACAGGCTGGTGAGGTGATGCCAGATACAAGCAGTCTTACCTCTGACTTCCACACAGAACTCAATGATCTGCTTTGTTTATCTTCAGCGCCGCTTTAGTTTACACTGTCGTGCTGTGATGCATGGATGTGGGCGAATCATTGAGATGGGATAAAGTCTGACTACGGGAGAACAGTGAAATGCCGATGTTATGCTGCAGCTCACTCTCCATTGATTTTGAGTCACTGTTACTATAAAAACTTGCCTTTATAAAAATTTTGACCGTAAAGGACATGGAGCAGTTCGACTGAAACTATTGCCTCCGCCTCGCTGTCCCAGAAGCTCTGCTGATGTGACTTCAATCACAGCGAAGCCAGCTGCTTCCCATTTAATGTTTCAAGTGCACTGCAGTAAAATAATATCCAAATGTAACTGGAGTTTTGGTGTGGTTTTCTTTGTCTCTGCCCTCACTAAGTACACAAGTGTGCTGTTCTGCCCCCTGCATTTCCGCAACCACTCCTGCCAGCGGAGCCCTTCGGCTGTTAAAAATGACGGATGAGGAGGGGCAGCTCCGCTGCAGCCAAACCAGCACCCCCCCCCCCAAGAAGCTTTCGCTCCCGTCTCCCTCAGCTGAGCTGTCTGTCATGGTAGCTGCTTCCGTCTTCAGCAGTATAAGTGGGAGGTGTTATTAGTATCGCAGCAGAATGTCGCTCATCGTGCTGCTGCTGATAACCCTCTCCTCGTAACCCCCCCCCTTCAGCCAGCATTCTCTCGGCCTGTGAGGGGGGCTCGCAGAACACGAAAATAGGACTCTGTACGAGACCAAGGCTGTCCGCCAAAAGTAACAAGCTCCATTCATGTGGAATTTCCCTCCGCTGTCCAGCATGGATTTATGCTCCATCCGTCAGCATCTGTCAAGGCTTTCATTGTGGACCTTATCTAGCTGCCGCAACCAGTACTGTTCTGCTGGGATGTGGTGGGAGAACTGGACGTGACTGGCACTGGTGATGCCGGCGGGAGAGCTGGACGTGACTGGCACTGGTGATGCCGGCGGGAGAACTGGACGTGACTGGCACTGGTGATGCCGGCGGGAGAGCTGGACGTGACTGGCACTGGTGATGCCGGCGG